GTTAGTCGACTGTGGTGCCAACGCCAACTACATCAGTCAAGAAATTGTTCGTTGCCTCGGCATCCCTACGTCCAAGAAAAAGGAACCAATCGTGGTTACTTTTGGAGGTGGTCAGCCCGTTACATGTTCTCGTTATTGTCATATCCGATTAAAGCTGGCTCATAATTTCCAGCCCATCATCCAATTCAATGTAATCCAAACGAAATTCGAAGCCGTCCTTGGCAAGCGTTGGCTTGCAAGATCTGTCCCAAAGCCTATACTGGATCTTGCCAAGCACACCATCCGTGTCGAACCCGATATTGTTATCCAAGGCTATACCACTCCCACCCACACTCCTGTCATGTCCGCAATGCAATTCAAGCGCCAACTCGATAAAAATCAAGCATTCCTTTGTGTTGTCCGTCCTGCCGATGAAACACCTCCCAGGAAAACCGTCGAACATCACCCAGCCGCACAGTCGTTGCTCGAAAAGTACAAGTCCGTATTCCCTGATGACCTCCCAAGCACCTTACCTCCGTCAAGAGCCGTCGACCACAAGATCGAGATCATTCCCGGTTCAGTTCCTCCATCTCATCCTACGTATCCGTTATCTCTAGCGGAAATGGATGAGTTGAAGAAACAATTAGATGATCTCCTCCTTCATGGTTTCATTCGCCCCAGCAAGTCGCCGTATGGAGCCCCCGTCTTGTTTGTTCGCAAAAAGGAAGGTGATCTTCGCATGTGCGTTGATTATCGTGCCCTTAATAAACAAACAGTCAAGAATACGTACCCACTGCCAAGAATCGATGAGCTGCTTGACCGACTCCACAATGCCAAGGTCTTCAGTAAAATCGACCTCCGCTCCGGTTATCACCAGATCAAGATCCACGATGATGATATCCACAAGACCGCCTTCCGCACTCGTTATGGCCTTTACGAGTTCCTCGTCCTCCCCTTTGCTTTAACAAATGCTCCCGCGACCTTCATGTGCCTCATGAACGACGTGTTCAAAGAGGAACTGGACTCCATTGTAATCATTTATCTGGATGACATCCTGGTGTTCAGTGATAATGAAGAACAGCATAAAGCCGACCTCGAGCGTGTCCTGCGGAAACTAGAAGAGAACAAGTTATATGCCAAATTGTCGAAATGTGAGTTCTTCAAGTCCGAAGTCGGTTTCCTCGGTCATATCATCTCCCGCAACGGTATTGCAGTCGATCCAAGCAAAGTCAAGTCCATCGTCGATTGGCCAGCCCTTACCTGTGTGAATGACGTCCAGTCGTTCCTTGGCCTGGTCAACTACTACCGTCGTTTTATCCGCAATCTCGCCAAGATCGCCGCCCCGCTGACTGAACTCCTGAAGAAAGAAACCCCGTTCGTCTGGTCCCTGCCGCAAGAATCCGCCTATCAAAGCCCTCAAGGAGGCCATGACCCAGGCTCCTGTCCTTGTGATCTTTGACCCATCTCGCCCCGTCTCTGTCCATTGTGATGCTTCCAAATTTGCAGTTGGTGCTGTACTCATGCAAGATGGTCGACCAGTAGCATTCGAGTCCCGTAAGTTGTCGTCTGCCGAGATCAACTATCCGATTCACGAAAAAGAACAGTTAGCCGTCGTCCATGCGCTACTCAAATGGCGTGTCTACCTCCACTCCACCGCAGAACCATTCACCGTTTACACCGATCACGAGTCCCTCAAATACCTCGACACCAAGAACACGCTCAGTCCGCGACAGATCCGTTGGATGGAGAAACTTGCGGAATACAATTTCAACATCCAGTACCGCAAAGGCTCCCTCAACGTGGTCCCTGACGCACTGTCCCGACGTCCCGATTACCAACTCTCTGCCATTGTCGAGTCGATTCCGTCTGTCGGTGCAGATTTTATAACCCTATGCAAACAGGCAATTGCCAAGGATGAGTAATTCAAGAACATCTTTGAGCGTGCCTCCAAGATTACCGATGCCAATGACCCGTTCGAGTTCCAAGTCAAGAACGATCTCCTGTATCTCAAGAAAGGTACCAGAGTCTGCATCCCTGACTTACCAGCCGTCAAGACCCAGTTGATGTCGGAAATCCATGATTGCCCTATTTCAGGACATAGTGGTGTCGACAAGACTTACGCCCGTCTATCGGAACTCTGCTACTGGCCCGGTATGATCCGTTCCGTGAAACACTACGTCGAATCCTGCCACGTCTGCAAGACTTCTAAAACAAGAACCACAAAAGAAAATGGATTACTACAGCCGCTTTCGATCCCGGAGAACCCCTGGACCCATATTGTGATGGATTTAATCATCCATCTTCCCAAAACCAAGTCCCACCACGACGCCATTGCCGTCTTTGTCGATCGTTTCAGCAAAACCGCCGTCTTCGTCCCCTGCAAGACCTCCTGCTCTGGTCCTGAGCTCGCGCAAATATTCTTCAAGAACGTCTTCAAGCACTTTGGCCTCCCAAAGTCGATTGTCTCTGACCGCGACCCTCGTTTCACAAGCCGTTTCTGGACCGACCTGTTCTCTTGCCTTGGCACCAGCCTCGATATGTCCACCGCCCACCACCAACAGACTGATGGTCAATCCGAACGCACCATCCAGACACTCAAGCAGTACTTGCGAATGTACACCTCCAACGCGCATGATGATTGGGATGAACTCCTGTGCCACGCCAAGTTTGCCTATAACTCTGCCAAGTCCGCCTCCACGAATCTCTCTCCGTTCGAGATCCTGTATGGTTACCTACCTCAAGTTCCTGCCAGTCTGATGTTGGGGAAGTCGCCGGAAGTCCATTCGCCGAATGCAAGAGTTTTTTTTTTTTTTTTTTTGAGGGAAAAGAGAGGATTTATTGTGGCTTAAACAGCCTTAATTGAGTTATTTTGTGCTATGGTTTTGGTGATTTCGCGAAGTATGGTGTGGATGATATCGCTACTAGATTGAGTGTGTTGATGAAGAAAAAGAACGGTGTTGGCTGATGAAATACCAATGAGGCAACAAGCCAGCAATTGTGGGATAGTGATGTTAAATTGGGGTTTGATATCAAAGGTTGGAGGATGGAAAGACAAGACCTTATCAAGGTCATCATCTGACCAAAGTGGTTTGGATGTATGTTCCTTGAGAATTGTTTGCCAAGCGATGTATTTAGGAGCGCACTGAAAGATGTGATGCGCCTTGTCCTCACGTCGCTCACGACATCCGGCCATGTTACAATGAGGATCCTGCTTCCAGATTTTTTGACGTAGAGTTCCGCAAGGAAGCCAATCCCTTTTAAATCTCCACCACGTGGTCCTGGCCCGGTGTGGTATTTTAGCGCTCCAGAATTGGCGCCACTGTTTCGAGGTTCCCGTCTCTGGTTGGGTTGAGGAGTTTGGGTTTGGTGGTGTGTCTTGCCTCAAAAAGGCTCGAAGGTGTTTGTTCGTGGCCGATTCCAGAGTGATGGGATTACTGTCGTTTGGGATCAAGACAGATGAGAGGATATGCTGTGCCAATGTATCATCCTGCGTGATCTTGGGTGGGTTCGAGAGTGCTTGCTGCATACTGTGGCGCATTCGACGACGTTCTTGGTAGGCCTAGATCCCTAGTTCCACTTGAGCAAGGCGGAGCTTGGGGGAAAGGTGTGTTTTTCTGACCAGTTGGAGGAGCCCATTGTTGTCAGGAGAAAACTGAAAGAGCTCTTCCACTCGGAGTCTGAGGGTCTTGATGGTGGTATCTGTCGTTTCAAACCACCATTCGATTGGTGAGGAGGCAAGTGTTACAGAGTCCGGCAAGGGATCAGCAAGGGCCAGTGCTTTGAGGGAAGGGAGGAGGGACGCCGCAGATACCAATCGTTGCAGACCGGGAAACCCTGCCAATAAGGATCTGTACTGTCCGTCCAGGGGTGCTAGGAGGAAGGCAAGGCGGTGAGACGTTTTGGTCCTCCATCGGATGATATCAAGAATGATGTCCTTACCCCAAGAGACATTAGTGGAGAGAGCATTGCGGATATGCTTGAGTTGGAAAACATGGCATTGAGTAGCTGGGTCAATAACGCCTAGGCCACCCTTGTCCCTTGGAGTAGTGATCACCTCCCATGATGGCCTTGGTTTAAAGGAGCATACGAATTTGGTGACTGCAGCCTTCACCTTTCGCAAAAAGTCGAGCGGGGGGTTGACAATCCAGGATAGGTGCCAAAGTTTGGAGAGGATAAGAGAGTTGATGATGGTGGCTCGGCCCAGGACGGAGAGGGATCGGGAAGAGTGTATGGTTATGGCTGATTGTATCTTCTTCAGAGTCTTGTCCCAGAAGTCTTTTTCCTGATCGCGGTTGAAAAAGATAGGGAATCCAAGGTAGATCAAAGCATCGGCGGAGTTGTAGTCATGCCATCGCACGTCCAAATGTTCCAGGTGGGTCTGCAATTCTTTGGAGTAAGAGGGGGCCATAGGAAAGGCCACAGTTTTGGACAGGTTGACTTTGGCATTGGA